ATGACCTCAGCACAAATCAGGACCTAATGCATCATCAGTCAGTTCTTAGCCAGTTGAGAAAGAGTCATTTACTTGATGTGAGCAACTGAATTTTCCTTTCTTAAAAGTTGCTGTGTGCAATATTGCTGGAATATGAAGCTGGTGAAACCAAAGGATGAGCACTAAGACAGTGTGTCTGACTTTTGAGTGGTGTCTTTTCTTCAAAGATTAACCAAACCTTCAGAATTCCTGTCAAAGCAATTTCAAACCAAGGAAATTCAGTTTTCCAGCAATTACATTCTGCATAGTTTAAAAATCATGTAAACAGTATTAGTTTCCTATTTACAGCACATAATTCTGTACTCTTTTGTTTATCCTCTTTTAAACATGTAATTACTGTATATTGTAATGCACATTAATATCATCTATTGTACATAGTTTATTTTAACAAAATAAAGGTATTATGAAGTATTTTGACAGCGTCCTTTGGAGAAGGTGTGCTGCTGTGTTTATTTTCCCAGAGGCTAATCACATACACCTTGCAGGATGTTTCTGGTAGGAAGAATATGTATTAACACATAGAACTGCTTTTGGATGGTTCTGGACCCACCTGCACCTCCCACTGCTCCCTGAAGAAAGTCAAACAGCAGGTGACACCACAGAGGTTTGCTCATCTCAGGTATGTCCCTCTTGGGAAACTGTTGCTTAACCAAATCCTCTGCAGCCTGGAAGCATAGGAAGGTGAAGGTGTGGGAACTGCTCCCTGCTGCATTCAGCCTTCATCTCTCTCTGATTCCAGGCTATCCCACAGTGACTGACCTGGAGGCAGTTCTCCATGTTCCACCAATATTAAAGTGGTTGGTTAGTTACTCTTTCAGTTACAATTTCTCTTTTATTTTAATAAGGCTTTCTTGGCATTACTGTCTGTGGCCTCCACTGTGTCATCACAGCACCAGAAGTGAATGTCTGAAGCATTTTCGAGAGAAGACAATGTGCAACAGCCTAGCAGGAGCTCTCTCAGTGAAGCATCTGGAAAAGTGTTAGAGTTTTGAGGGGAGTTTGTTACTCCCAGAGAAACCTAACACATAGATAACAAACCCTTACTAATGGTGAGCTGTGTAACCTACGGTCCAGCAGGAGGGAAAATGAAATGCTTACAGGGATGAAGAAGCTACATGAGGAAAGACAGCCCTGCTGGACTGGAATCAAGGAATGACTGGTTCCAGCCTTCCAGAGATTCAGTGCAGAGATGTGGGTCTTGTTTTTTAAAAGAAAATTAAATTTAAAAAAAAAAAAGATAGTTGCTTTGTTACCCAGCTATTCTTTACCAGTGTCACCAGTACTGTGACAAATCAAATCACTGCAGAGCAGTGACTATTGCTGTTCAAGTTAAACAAGCAGCAATAAACTTGAGACACTGAGTGCTGTGCAGGGTTCAGATATGACTGATCCCAAGGGACTTTACAGCCTGTATATTTTAAAACACACAGTGAAGGAGAAAAAATCATGTGTATTATAATTTCCAGTGTTCAGAAGGAAACTGAGGCATAAAGAAATCTGCTACTTTTCATGAGAGAAAGAATATCTGAGATGTGACAGTCTTTGTGGCAAACACTCCTTGCAAATATGCACCAAAGAGAGAAGAGCTGTTTAATTGCTTTGGACAAGTGGGATGATGATATTTAAATCTGTAGCTTTAAAGAGCATTAAAATGCTCCCAAGGTGATGAAATGGCCTTGGGAAGAGGCTTCTCATGCTCTGAAATATGTGGGCTATGTTGACTGCCTGCAAATTCTGGCCAGGACATACCATACCAGCTGCAGCATAAAGGATGTGAAAGCTGAAAGGCCTGGTCAAAAGTGGGGCCTGAGGGGGATGGTTTTAAATTAAAAGAGGGTCGATTTACACAAGATATATGAAAGAATATTTTTACCATGAAGATGGTGAGGCACTGGCACAGGTTGCCCAGAGTGGATGCCCCATCCCTGCAAACATTCAAGGGACTTTGAACAATGTTGGCCTAGTTGAAGATGACCCTGCTCGTGGTGAGGGTTTTGGACAAGATGAACTCTAAAGGTCCCTTCCAACCCAAACCATTAAATAATTCTAAGTATCAAAACTTGTGGGAATTTAACAGAATGAAGACTTAGTAGTGTAATAACTTCTGGGGGAAAAAAAAAGCCCCAGCAGCAGGATTTATGTTGGCTCCCTGAAAGTTAGTGTTGTGTGCCTACTTGTGGGAACTCAGCAGAGATGGATGAAGAGGGATGTGCATCAGTCAAATCATACAAGATGAACAGGTCCCTTCCAACCCAAACCATTAAATAATTCTAAGTATCAAAACTTGTGGGAATTTAACAGAATGAAGACTTAGTAGTGTAATAACTTCTGGGGGAAAAAAAAAGCCCCAGCAGCAGGATTTATGTTGGCTCCCTGAAAGTTAGTGTTGTGTGCCTACTTGTGGGAACTCAGCAGAGATGGATGAAGAGGGATGTGCATCAGTCAAATCATAGAATCATAGGATCATTTCAGTTGGAAAAGACCTTTAAGATCATTGAGTCCAACCATTAACCCTGCCAAGCCCACCACTAAGCCATGTCCCCAAGTGCCAAATCTACATGTCTTTTAAGTCATAGAATCATTGAGTCCAACCATTACCCCAACACTGAACCAGGTACCAAAGTTCAGTGTTGGCAGGACTTTTGATGCTCAGGAAGAATCCGCAGCATCTCCAGACACTTTTGCTCTCCTCAAAAGATCATCTCAACACTGTCTTTTACTGACTTCATTTAAGCCAATACATCCTCTCACCTTCCTTTTCTGCTCCCCAGTCTGGCTGAATCAGTCAAAACTCTTTTCACACCCTGCAGTGTTTTCTTCTGATGACTTGCTGAGGTTTCTAGTGGCTCGCCATGTCTGGGTACAGCCCTTATTTCCTGCTAGCTGCAAGGGAAGGAAGTTTGCCACTTTCTAATCCTACCTCTAATCCTGAGACTATAGCACAACCAGACTCCATCAGAGAAATTCGGCGAAGGAAATGACTTCACATCAAGGAGATGTTTTGCAGGTGTTCACAGCTCTGGCAAAGAGTTTGTAGGAACTTAAACATATTCTATATGGCAAATCTCTATGTGTAATTAAGGAAGGACACATTGCTTTAAATTGCTTTCAAACTACAATTTTGAGCTTTATTAAGGACACAAAATAATTTGCAGGTTTTCCATAATAACTGTGATGCTAGTTAACAAGATCAGAGGGATTGTGAGATGTGATTTGAAACAAAACACGAGGAATTTTGAAAGGGCAGTTGAACTATCCATCAGCAAAAAAACTGCTACTGCTGCTGTTGGACACAGCAGTCTCTATTCAGAATTACAGAAGACAGAGTGGTAAAATCTCCTCCTTCCTACTCAGTCACAGTGCAGCTTTTACAGTTCCACTGACACAAAAAATGGCATCAGCTTTTACAGTTCCACTGACAAAAAAAAATAAAAAATGACATCAACTAATAAGTTACAGGCTAAATTAAATCTGCCTCAGTGAGGACAGGACACCTGGGGAAGTTTCAAGCCTGCATCCCTGGAAATGAAGGCAACTGCATCCAGAAGACAAGGCACTGAATGGGGGGAAGGCAGGTGCAGATATTCCATGCAGCAGCAGTTCCCTCCTAATGGCTATCTGAGAAGGTGTCTTTGTTTTGTAAGCTCCTGTGAGCCTCTCCCACTTGGCAAATCTTCCTGCTTTCACATAATTTCCCATTTTGCTCAGGGGAGAAATGAGAGATGAATGTGGGTCTGTCCTCCTGCAGGTGGGAACCAGAGGACAAAGGCACTCACATGGCTGTGGTCACAGGAGGCTGTTGCAGCAGCTCCCAGGTGTCTCCTAGTTTGTAAACAGCAGGTCTGAGGAGGTGTGAACTGTCCTTTGGCACGTCTGTTCTCTTTCCTGTCCTGAACTTGTCTCACCAACCATTACTGGATGCTCCGCAGCTTTCCTGCAAGCACATCTGGCTGTCCCCCAGCACTGTGTTCAGCCTCAGAGGAGCAGGTCTCCATGGAGCTTAGCAGTGTGGGGAACTGTGGGAATACCCTTCATAGCCCCCTCTTTCCCACCAGCTCAGCCAGGGACTAGCTGAAACCAAACCATAATCGCTGCATTTTGGCTAGGTCCCTCTAACTCTGGAAATTGTCAGGAGAGACTCCTTGGGCTCTACAGAGTCTCTCTGACTCTACATGAAGCCATTTCCCCTCCAATCCCTGGACAAAAGCAGATGGTTCTACACACTTAATGTGTTTCTCTCTTTTTTTTTTCAAGGAAATGTCCCTCGTGAGGCAAGATTTTTTTTTTTCCTGCAAAATAGCTCCAATTAAGCAAAGCATTGAAATCCATGCTTAACTGTAAAAGTCCACACTTAATCATTAGCTTAAGTACTTGGCTGAGTCGGGGCTGAGTACAGATTCATCCTCATTTCAAGATGCTGATTTGGATACTCATTTTCAATTCATTGGCCTTAAGACCTATTTCTTTGACTGTTATTCCTGATTGACCTTGGGGTAAGAATAGCTAATGGTGATAGGGGGTGAGGTGGTGGAAATGCTGGTAACTGCATTTATGTTACTGGAAAGAAGCTAAACCCCAGATGAATAAAGAGGCTGTTACAGAAGAGGCAATGCCTTTGTAGGCTGTTTCCACCCCCCAGTGACTGTTTAGTCCATGTGCACTTTGTGCACAGAGAAAGGTCACACAGTATGAAAAGCCTGTTAGGAAGGAAAACTGCATCATTACTTTTGACCACAGGATTTGCTATTGTAAGGCTGTGCTACGTTTCTACAGCAATAATGCTTTAAACAGCATGAGGAGAGGAGATTAAATCTCATCTGCCTAGAAAAGTCAATGATTAGGAGCACTACAGGGTGAGATCAAGTTCTGGACTGATTTACACCCTCTGGAATACTGGAGGTTCCAGGGGTATGAAGCCAGGGAAGAATTTGGCCCCTCCTAGCCTGACCTGGGAAGAGAGCTCAGTAAGTCTCACATTCGGTCGTGGCAGTGGAGCAGATGTCGCAGTCGCAGCGAATGGCCATGGGGTAGGTGTAGAAGGGATCCACACCAGGGGCACACTTGGGCAGCTTCACTGTCACCATCTTGGTCTCATTGTAGGTGCAAATACGATGGTAAGACTCAATGTAAGGTGGCTCCAGGATTGGTCTCTGTCGGGAAGAAATGGTAGCCTCAGGCAAGAAGCAAGACAAAAGTCTGGAGTCCCAGTTTCCTCAAGGGAATTCAGTTTAAATAGAGGAGCTACTGGATCAGGTGGAAGGGGCCATGGAAATAATTTCTAGGCTACATCCTTCAACACTTGCCTCTTGGAGCCCTGCCATGGAGGGGAGCGGGTGTATGTGCGTGTTGCAGTTTGTTTAAAGCATAAAGCGCCAATTAAAGTTGCTTGAGGGAAGACAAAGACTCCAAAAAACTGATTTTCAGCAGAATATGAGTGTTTCAACCAAATGCTGCCAAAAGCAGCTGCTTTCTTCCAAAAGTATTGATTTTCCATTAAACACATTCTGCTGGAAACCCTTCCTTGTGCACAGGCTGCCTGAGGGCAGGGCTGCATCCAGGTGCCAAGGGCTCTTTTTATTCTCACCCAGACCAGTCTTCACAGCCATACTGCACATCCTAAAAAGCCCAATGGATGTACACTGTGGGGAAAGCTCTTGGCACAGCTACCAGCATAGAAGTCTGCAATTCCTCCTGAGGAAAACAACTCAGCCATCAGGAGACTATGGGAGCCTGAAGGCCTTGAAACCCACACTGCCACGTGGTATCATATTGGCATTGCTTTTGCTGAAAAGTGAGTTTTTCTCCATTTTCCAAAAAGTCCAAGAAGGGGCAGTGCACACAGGAATGGGAGTCCATTGTCATTTTCTACCTTGCACAGATGGGAAACAGTGTAAGGTAACACAGCCAGGAGACAAGTTCTTTCTTTCCCTCTGTGCTGTGTAAAGAACCCCTCTTGGGAACCAAGAATGGTGGCATGGCACAAAACAGATGCAACATTTCAGTAAGATATTCCAGACACCCTCCCTTTTATCAACACCCCCCATTCAAACACATTCTAGAAGCTATTGAGCCTGCAGCCAGATGCATCAAGCTGAACTACTCCCCAGTGGTATTGCAATACAGTAGTAGAGTCAGCAAGGTCTGTGCTGCTCAGGGAGCTTGGGAGTAGGGGGAACCAGGTGTTGACAGGTCACCCAAAGGAACCTTGTCTCACGGGAATCTGGGCACTGGTGGCCTTTCTCCTCCTCCCACCAAGCAGTGAGGCCAGCTGGCACAGCTGGCACACAGGCCCTGATTCCTCCTCTGGTCAGTTATACCCCAAGCATAGAGCTGGCACAGCTGGCACACAGACCCTGATTCCTCCTCTGGTCAGTTATACAGAGTCCTTCCCTCCATGTGGACAAAATCCCCCTGAATCATTTGAGGCTTCCCTGAATAAACTAAATTGGGATTGGCCCCTTGAGCCTTCCAGTGGCAGAAAGGCAAAAAGAGTCAGAAACTTGTTCTCTGACATGTGTGTAGATGTAGAGCTGGCACAGCTGGCACACAGACCCTGATTCCTCCTCTGGTCAGTTATACAGAGTCCTTCCCTCCATGTGGACAAAATCCCCCTGAATCATTTGAGGCTTCCCTGAATAAACTAAATTGGGATTGGCCCCTTGAGCCTTCCAGTGGCAGAAAGGCAAAAAGAGTCAGAAACTTGTTCTCTGACATGTGTGTAGATGTACTTATGTTCTTCCTTTCTCCCCCTGTACACCTCTAAAACTTAAGTACTTCATATTTATACAGGGCTGAGACTTAAAACAGGACCAAATTAGAAACAGACATTGTCTTTGGGATTAGCTTTTTGGAACAAAATATATTACCCATCAATTGGGAGCTCCATCTTAATCTCAAAGGAATTTTTTTCAAGTAAAGTAATAAAGTCCTCCTGTCCTTAAGTGTTCAAGCTGTAAGAGGCTTTCAGATTGTGTAGCAAGAGTATTACATAAGTGCTTCATTAATATCATCCCAGGATGTCCATCCCTCTTTGGGGCAGGGGAAGGAGGAAGGGAACAACGAACAGCCAACGCTGCTGTCAGCATTAGTGAGGGGTCATGGAGCAGGACACAGCCCTGGTCTGTTTAGTAGGTACCTACAAGCTGTTTAGTGTTGGATGGGTATGTTGGCAGCACCCAGGGGTGTCAGTGCCCAGCAGCACTCTCAGGCCCAGGTGCAGCCTCACCTCCCAGGTCTCGCAGCGTCCCCAGCAGGCGTCGGTGGTCACGCGCAGCCCCCAGCAGCCTGGTTTCTTGGCCACAAAGGTGAACTCTCGCACAGCACAGCCGATGAAGGTCCGCAGGTCGATGGCAGAGGACTTCAGTGTGCCACCACAGCCAGCCAGCAGCAGGAGCAGAGTGCCCAGGATCACACAGTGGAGCTTCATGCTGAGGCAGAAGGGAGAGAAGTGGAGGGCTGGGAGAGCCACCACAGTCCAGGAGGCAAGAAGTGCAAGGGGACAGGCTCAGCTGGAGCTGGGAGAGCCCTTGCTCCTTCCAGACACACTGTTCCCTATCCCCACTCAGCCTGAAGACAGGCAGATGGAGGAATGAGGAGTTACCTACTCCCAGAAGTGGAAAATCTTAGTAAAAAGATCTGTCACAGACAGGAGCAGCATGCAGACATTCCCTGCAGACCACTGCATTCCCAGCCTGGAAGAGATAAAGCCACCAACCAGTGCCTCAGCCCCACTGAAATCTCCATGTTCAGAGTTGCTTTGCAGGATATGCCTTTCTACCAGCTCTTTTAGCTTGCCCTGAGCTTGCACAAGGCCAATGCCTGTGTAATTAGGAGCCAAGCACCCATGAATTTGTGCTACAACCTTAGCATCTCCCAAAAGTGTCACTGGAGTTGCCATTACCTGCACCCTGAGCACTGGACTCATGCTGTTCCTATCCCAGGGCTGCAGCCAGAACTGCTGATTGTCCCTTCAGCAGATGCTGCCCTACAGCCAGCTCAGACCCAACTCAGGCTGCCAAGCTGGTGATCAGAGGTTGGGGGACATGGCCAAGGTGACCAGAGGAGGTGTGAACTCACAGAATCACAGAACTCCTCACACCTGAGCAGCCCAACAGCCACCAAGAACCTCTGATACCTGTTGACCTTCTGTCTCAGTAAAGCAACTAGCTTCTCTGGAAAACTTTCTCTGTCAAAAAAAAAGAGCTGTAAAATGGTTCTAAGGTATATTTTATACTTCACATACTTGCACTGCATTCAAAAACACCCACCTAGAAACCCCAGACTTGACATTTAATTTTGAGAAAGTCAGCTACTGCACAGGGTGCAGACTGGTGTGCACTGGCCTGTGTCCTCAGCTGGATAGACAAAAATGAAATGAGCTTGGCCTGCCTTTTGCCTGGCTGTTGCTTGAGTCTCTGAGCTCCTGTTAAAGGAAATGCTTTAAATTTGCTAAATCAGAGCTTTAGATCAGCACATGATGTTTGTTTCATACACGTTACCATGCACACACTAGGGTCCTGTGAATAAATGAGAGTATGTTTCTATATAAGCTTCAATGGGGTAAAAAAAATGCTAAAATTCTTGATTTTTAAAAGCACATATAAGAGGCAAATTTCAGAACAAATCAAACATTTATTCTTTGCCACTTTAGCAAACCCTGCTGCTTTATTCATGAGCCAGAGCTATGACAGGGAGCAGACACAGACCCACACTCACCTAACGTGTTGGAGTCAGAATTCCTTTTGCAGTTTTAAATTGCAGATGATGCTTCAGGACGTCAGTCAGAGCAGCAAGAGAACTGCACAGCAATCTTTGTCAGCTTTGTGCTTGGTAGATCTCCCCAGCAGCTGCTACTGGGTTGTTTAATTGCTCAAATTTATAGAAAGGGTCTTGTCAATCAAGGCAGATCCTTACTTGAACTACCCAAGGCATCAAAGTCATTGACTGTGAAGCCACAACAGAGATTAGCTTCAAGGGAATTATTGGTTTTGTAGGTTATTGTTTCATAACATCAGCCCTGAAACAAAAGGAGTATCTCAGTGGGTGAAATGATGAGCATGCACTGGGGCAAAATGGATCTTCTTTTCCATGGTGGAATATCAACACCTTTGTGAGGGGATTGGAGGTTGGCTCTGAAATCATCATTATTCCCCTAATTAACAAGCCCTGAGTAAACACCTTCAAGGGAGACTTTTTGGATATTTGTGAGCAAACACCTGGAATTCTGTCAACTGCATAAGACCTCTTTTTACTCGATTGCTCTGTACAAGCAAGGGCAAGGGATGGGGGGAGGAGATGTGAGTTCGCAAGGAAAGCAAGTGCTCTCTTGGTGAGCCAGGCAGTTGTCACACAGGTAAGCACCACTGCCTTCACTGTGCAAACAAAATTTACAGCTATTCATGGGACAGAGAGCAGTGGAGGAACTTTGGTTCCATGAAAATCTTGCTGGTCAGCAAGTTCATAAAAGAGGAGCAATGAGAGAAGTGCAGGGATAAGCTCAGTTGGTGACCACAGGAAGGTCACATCCCTTCCCTGCCACCAGCTTGTGTCTGGACAGTGACCTGCCAGCACTGACTGCTCTGGTACCCAGGCACATCCAGAAAAGGCAGGGCAAGTGTCAGAGATGACAGACACAAGGGTGATGCTGTTAGAAGTGACCACAGCAACACAACCCAGCCCTGAGAATAGAAAACACAGAGGAAACCTTGATCTAAACAAAATCCATCCAACAATGTTTTAGAGAAAGCAATAAAAAAAAAACAACAAAAGCAGCATCTCTTGATCCCCACAAAAATCATCTCATCAGATATGAAGAACTGATTGCTACAAGTTTGTTAATTTACCTTATGAGTATCCAATACATATTTCTGGTGGGTTGTATTCAGGCCTTCTGCAGTTCAAGCTACAGAAAACATCGAACAGACATTGAGGAAATGTGATATTGAAGCATTCAAAACCAAGCAAGGTACATCACATAGGTGCTCTCCCTTTTTCAAGGTGAATTAGCCATGGCTCAAGATCCTTGTTTCAAGTCCAAGGCCCCAGCACACATTTGGGGCACCAGGAGTGCTTGTCCTCCTGCTCATACCTCCTGAGAAACCCAGAGCACTGGCTGTACTTCACTATTCAGCTTGGAGCAGCCAACGAAGGCTGGTTATTCACCCTCAAAGTTTGCCTTTTCTGTTTAAAT